GCTTGTTTGAGAGATTTTAGCAAAGTCTGAAGCCTGAGTGAGAACAAGTCATTCTTATGGAAAAGCTGCTGCAAACAGTGTGGGTAGGGTTGCAAATCTGATGGGGTGGGGCCTTAGGGAATCACCAGGGTGGAGCTAACAGTGTGCTCCAGGCTGATGGAGACTCAGATATGGCTGCTAGTCAGCTCTGGGACAGGGGAGGTCCCAGCTCAGAAACAATGATCCCAGTGAGCATCCCCATCTGGAAGAAAGCCACCCCCACGTTCCTGCCATGATGCCAGACAATTCAGTTCCTCCCTGAATGTTTCTGGGTCCTCCAAAGCTGCCAGGTGCTAGGAATCTAAGATTGTGCACCAGCTCTTTAAATGGAACATGGGACTCTAGCAACCTCTGTGTCCCTCATCCACAATCCACACTGGTTTTTATAGCCCATGGTTGCAGGGACTTCTCAGCTCTGGAATTCTGGGTTTGGAGACTGGGTAGGGCTGGGACCCCTTGCTCCTCATGGCCTCCGCAGAGATGATCTTCCTCCTGATTAAAAAACAGCACACGTGAGTCCAGCCCTCCCCGCCTCCTATCAGTCCCAGTGTGCTTTCTTTACTCTTCTTGTAGGATTTCCATTCAGCCAGCTGTCAGGCGGTTCTGAATGATGGTTTTGTATTTTACCCTGTTTCCCCGAAAATAAGACAGTGTCTTATATTAATTTTTGCTCCCAAAGATGCACTAGGTCTTATTTTCAGGGCACATCTTATTTTTCCATGAAGAAGAATATGGTACACATTTATTGTTAAATGAAAATAAAGGAAATTTATTACCTGTATATGGTACGGTGGTACGGTAGTTGTCAACACAAACCAGACAAACTGTGAATCCTACAGTATCAAGAATTTACTCATTTATTCAATGACAATCATGTCATCTCCTAGAACATCATCATAACAATCCAATTCCTGAATTTCCTGGTGAATTTCTTGTGACTCCATTTCTTTCAGAATCAGTGGACCAAATCTCTCATGTTTAGCCTAGGGGGATGGGGGCCTTATTTTCGGGGGATGCCTTATATTTCACTCAGAAGGAAACCTGTAAGTAGGTCTTATTTTCGGAGAATGTCTTATTTTCGGGGAAATGCGGTAATTGTAATTCTGATGTGGTTGTGAGAGTTAATGAATACAGGCACTTACGCACACTGCCATCTTGACCTCTTTTTAAGAGGAAACTGCCAGCTCTTTTTTAATAAAAGCACTTTTAGACCTGTTCTTTTACTGCTTCTGATTATTTGAAGTTCTTATGCACTTTGCATATACTGAAAGAACACCATCCTGAATATTCTTTTACGGCAACATGCCCATTCCTCCCAGAGCTCTAGGCCTGAAAGCCACGCAGAACTTGGAATTTTAAAACGGCTTGAGAATGAGGTGGTTAGTGAGACAGTCACACGTTAAGACTTTTTTTGTAGCTGAAATATCTAAGTCTTGCCACTCCCTTTGAAGTAGCATAAGAGCCTGATGCCCTTTTGATATCACCACCATTCAGTTCTACCCCCTAAATGTCTCTTACACCTGTCTTTTCCCCATCCCCTCCCAACCTCTGCAGCGCCATCCTCTTCTCTGCTTGGATTGGTCTCCCTGGACCACTGGATGCTCTCCATACTCTTCCCCATGCACACAGGGTGAAGTCCAGCCTTCCGGTTTGTGGCTTTACTTGTTCTTGCTGACTTCATTTCCTTCCATTCTCTGTCTCACATCACTTTGCTCCGGCTGCTGGGCTTTCCCAAGCTCATTATCCTGAGCCACCTTAGGACAGTTTTCCTTAGACTTGGAGAGCCTCATCTCTTGCTTTCCACTTCCAGCCCTCCCTGTTTCAGCCCCTTGGCTTTCTAGACAAGGTAAATCCTATTACCTTCATGGCCCTTGTCAATGTTCATAGTGGTTTAAGATGCAGCCTCTGTAGACCAGTGGCTCTGAGAGCAGGACATGTTTTGTTGTTAATGTATTGATGTTAGAGGAAGAGAGAGAAACATCAGTTTGTTGTTCTACTTATGCATTCATTGATTGCTTCTCGTATGTGCCTGGACCAGGGATTTGAATGTACAATCTTGATGTCTCCAGATGACGTTCTAACCAACTGAGCTCCCTGGCCATGGCCAGAAAGCCTGTGCTTATCACACAGTGGTACATTGGAGATGCTCAAGTATTTATTGAATGGACATGGAGTCCCTTCCAGGGTTTTAGAAAGGCATTAGTGCTATACAGCTTTCTGAAAGGGTCTCTAATGTATTAAGTTATACAAATTTTTGCAGTGGTTGGAGAAGACATAGGAATTGGCTACCTCCTTTGGAATGTGGGGTAGAGCAGGTGGCTACCGCTGGCCATCTGAGAACAGCACCTTCACGGAATGCCCTTTGACTTTCCAATCGGCTGAACCAGTCACAGCTGTATTCCCAGTGGCCCTCCTGGAAAAATCATGGAGTTACTGAGATTTCTCCTTTTTCTTTTTTGTTTACTTGCTTGATAATCAGAGAAAACAATTATATGAAACTAGAGACCCAGTGCACAAAATTCATGCATGGGGGGTGTGGTAGGGAGGAGAGGTGTTCCTCAGCCCAGCCTGCACCTTTTCCAATCTGGGACCCCTCGAGGGGTGTCTGACTGCCCATTAGGGCCGATCCTACAGGGATTGGGCCTAAACAGGCAATCACACATCCCTCTTACAATCCAGGACTGCTGGCTCCTAACTGCTCGCCTGTCTGCCTTTCTGATTGCCCCTGTTTCTGCCTGACAGCCTGATCACCCCCTAACCACTCCCCTGCCAGCCTGATTGCCCCTAACTGCCCTCTCCTGCAGGCCTGGTCACCCCTAACTGCCCTCCCCTGCAAGCTTGATTGCCCCCAACTGCCCTCCCTTGCAGGCCTGGTCCCTCCCAACTACCCTCCCTTGCTGGCCATCTTGTGGCAGCCAATTTGTGTCCACCTGGGAGCTGCCATCTTGTGTATTGGAGTGATGGTCAATTTGCATACTACTCTTATTAGATAGAGTTATTAGATAGGATAGAGGCCTGGTGCATGGGTGTGGGCCAGCTGGTTGGCCCTGAAGTGTGTCCTGGATTGGGGTGGGGATTCCCTTGGGGTGTGGAGTGGCCTGGGTGAGGGGCCTGTGGTGGTTTGCAGGCTGGCCATGCCCCCGGTGACCCAAAAGGAGGCCCTGGGATCTGGGATTTATTTATCTTATATAATTGAAACTTTGTAGCGTTGAGTGGAGGCCTGGGCCTGCCAGGGAATGTGGAAAGCTTGGCTTCCTCCATCGCTGGGGGCAGCTCAAGCTTCCTGCTCTCTCTAGCTCCGTAGCTGCAGCCATTTTTGTTGGAATTTATTTATCTTCTATTAATTGAAATTTTGTAGTCTTGAGTGGAGGCCTGGGCCTGCCAAGGTGTGTGAAAAGCTTGGCTTCCTCCATTGCCAGGGAAACCCAAGCCTCCTGCTCGCTCCATGACCGCAGCCATCTTGGTTGGGTTAATTTGCATACCCACTCCTGATTGGCTGATGGACATGATTTATGGGTGTAATGAAGTGATGGTTAATTTTGCATATTACTATTATATAGGATGAGCAGTTTCAGTATAGAATGTCTAAAGGAGAAAAATATATGAATCACTCAGCTAAAATTTTTAATTAAATGGTTCATTTAGACTTTTAACTTAACTTCAACTGGTTTTATCCTGGGGGTGGGGAAAATAGAAACACACAGCAGACTGTGTTTATCACAGGCACAGCTGGGGTAGAGAGATACAGGGCAAACTCAAACTCCTGACATTCAGAAAGGCAACCATTGCTTAACCTGCTCAATCTCACGAATAACTTAGGGAATGTAATCTGTGCAATAGCAGAACACCTTAAGAATTAGATGATATAAATCTAAGAAACAAGGTAAGTGGTTTATTGGAACTGAGATTGACCACATCACAGACACTTTTGTGTCACTGCCACTGGAAAAGTCAATCTGTGCTAAACCCTTCGGTGACTTCTCTCAAGGGCTCCAGCTTGGGCAGCAGTTTCCCACGGCATCGTGGCCTCATCTCTGATGTCTTTTCTCACTTGCCCTTCACTGGGCTTGGGAACTCCTGGGCGACTGCTCTCAGGAGACAAACCTGGAATGGTGCACAGACCGCTCCAGGGGCTGGAGAACTGGGCAGAGGCAAGGACAGGGTCTGTGCCGCTGGCAGGGACCAGGCCCAGCTGGCCCTGGATGGCGCAGCCTCGGAGTAGCATTTGGTCAGTGGGCTTACATTTATGGAAGATGGGTGGTTTCAGCAAAGATGAAAGGAACGAGAAAGCTCACCTTTTCATGGTGCTGCCTCTGTCTTAGGTGCTGTCACCTTTCAGATGCTGGCTTTGCTAGGATGTCCCACATGAAAAGGAAATCAAGGACAAGGGGTCTCTAAAAGTCATGTTTTAAGTGCTCCGTAATTCTGCCCATTTCGCAAAGCTAGCTGTGAGGTAGTAACTACAAAAAGGCCACCGGTTCACCTTACGGTGTGCGCAATGGTGTGGTGTGGGACAGCTCCACGTGTGTGACCTGAGCCCGGGGTCTCTGTGACCGGGTCTCAGTGAACAAGCTCATCTGCAAAGGGATGAAGGACAGAGGACACGTGCACACGAGGCCCATCTTGGGAAACTTTCCATTCTGTGCATTGATTTTTGAGAAAAAAACAAAACACTGGAAATCTTTCTTTCCTGAGCAAAGGAATACAAATGACAGACACAATTTAGTGGCTATTAAAGAACAGGATTTTTTTGTAATTAGCATTTTAAGAGCCACTGTCATTTAAACAAAGTATTAACAGATTAGGGTGTGATCTTGTAGAAAGTTAATGGAAGTGTTCCTCCTGGGACACAGCACTATTTGGTGTGATCAAACTTCGGGGCTGGCATGTGATTTCTCAGCTCCATCTCTCGATGCTGGCCGGCCAGTCAGCAGGCTGCCCCCGGGCTCTTCCAGCTGGCTCTACTTTGGGCCAGAGAAGGAAGTAAAGGCCTTGTCGCAGCCTGCCATGCATGCTTCGATCTCCTCCACCGTGCGGGGCACACAGGTCAGCAGCTCTGTGCCACTGTCAGTCACCGCGACGTCCTCCTCGATGCGGACCTGCAGACCGATAGGCTGTTTCTGAGCTGGCCTCATGCTCGTGATTAGAGGGCCGGCCCTGCCAGCTCAGGCTGACCGCCACGGAGCGGGATGCCCTTTCAGGCGAATGGTCACTACTGCCCCTGACCAAAGGGGCCGGCCTCGAGGCCTTCTGGGGACAGCAGCGAGAAAGGCTCATCCCCTGGGGCCACGTGCGCATGCCGCCTGCCCACCCTGTCCTTGCCCTTGCACCCTGCCAGGAGGATAGGAACCCCAGGAGTGGGCAGGGGTTTGCAGAATTCATCTCTTCTGTGAGGGCTGAGGCACCCGTGTCATGACAGACCATAGGAAAGGGAGGCCACTAGGGCTCCTGTCCTGGGACAAAGAGGTGACAGGCAGCAGCAGGGGGTATTCTGGGAGCAAGGACATGGGGCCCATTGACTGGTACTCACCCCTCCAAACCCACGGAAGCGCTGCAGAACCTCGCGGTTAAAGAAGCAGGCGCGCGCCGGGTCAGCCAGGGCCTCGTCCAGGAGGTGGTCGATGAAGTAAATGCCCGGCTCCACAGTGAGCACCATGCCTGGCGCCAGGTGCCTTGCAGTGCGCAGGCTCCGCAGGCCGGGCTCATCAATGCGCTCCACGCCCTGCGGTGAGGAGGATGAGGGACACCCTAGCGAGGCTCCCCTCCGCCCACGCAGGCGTTCTGGGTGAAGGCTGGCTCCAGCCTGTGGTCTGGCGGCAGCAGCGCTGTGCACAGGCCCTTCAGAGGAGACCCTGTTCTCTGCACACACCCCAGATCTTAGTGGCCTTGCCCGTTACCCTAAGAACTGCCTGCGGGAGCCCTGTGGACACCACATGCACACACACAGGCAAGCGGCCCAGAGGGCTGGCTGGCTGGCTGTCCGGCGGCCCTCACCTGGGCCTTCTCCGCACCAGGGGAAAAGCCAAAGCTGTGAAGCCAAAAAAGCTCTTAAGGAGGCTGCGAGGCTGCGTGGGCTGCATCCCTCCCTTCAGGCAGCTCCGTGGAAACGAGCCCCAGAAGTGCTGGGCCCGGCCGCCCAGGCCAAGTGGGTTTTCCATGTGGCCTTCCAGGGGGAGGGACAGGTGCTGCCATCAGGACGGGCCTGCCAGCACCAGCTCTGGCGGGTATTTGCGCAAATGCACGCGTATTCCATGTACATGGCTCTTGCCCAGACTCTTGGCTACCCAGCTCAGCCCTGGGCAACGGCTCCCAGCCCTTTAGGAGGAGAAAGCAGCAGCAGCAGCTGCTCCCTGCAGAGGCATCCCCTCCTCGACATGACCCAGCCTGGGCCCTTCTCACCCGGGTGTAGCTGACGGCTGCCCGGCTGCGAGGGCAGGTGGTGCCTAAGACACGTGCAGAGTTTCCCCATCCTCTCCAGGTCCCTGGGGCAAGGCCTGGGAGTGAGTGGGCAGCAAGCAAGCTTTGGTCAGGCCGTGAGCGTGCTCGGCCCCGCTCGCAGCAATCCCTGCAGCCCAGCTGCTGGAGACAGAGCTGTCACTTCTGACTGTTTGGGGGCCAAGAACATCAGACTTCAATTAGTGGTTCATGTAAGGTAACCAGAAACAGGCTGGCTCGGCCTCCAAGGCTGGGCACAGCGGGGAAGGCTGTGGCCGTTTCCATGAGGGCAGGGACAGTGGGGCACGGAGAGACTGGCGTGCACAGCCACTCGGACCTGGCATGAGCTCTGCTGGGATGGAGGTGAGGAAGGGACACAAGGCACCGTGACCCCCGTGGGTCATGCTCTGGGCACAGAAGCCTGACTCCCTGTGGGTTGCTCAGCCACACAACACTGTTTGCCTTGAGGGGTAAGGCAGGAGGGTGGGGGACCCGGAAAGGTCCAGCCTGGAATGGCAATCCTGGTGCCAAGTGACTGAGGTTATCTCCTGCCCAGAAACTGCTTGTCAGAGCTACGAGTTGGGGTCTCTGCTCCCTCCATCTGAACTCTGTGCCTGCCCTGGCTCCCCCACTCCTGTGCCTTACCTTCATGCTGCCCCCCAGTGTCTGTCCCTTTTTTCACTCCAAGGTTGCCAAAGCCAGGGGCCTGGCAGAGGCAGAGACCCGCCAAGGTCATGGCCCAGCTCCCCTCAGTTGCTCTGGGCCCACGCAGAGCTGTCCCACGGACGTGCGGACAGGAGGGCCATTTGCTTGAGCTTGTACTCAGACAGGCTTCCTTCCCCAAATATCAGGTGAGGAGAGGGAGGAATGGCAGGGATCCCTGGGGGCACAGCCCACCAACCACTGCCCCTTTCGAGCGTCCCTGCTCAGGAGTCTGCCCTGGGCCAACGGGACGGCCAGAGGGGCTGGAGGACCAGGGCAGATCCCACCAGGGAGAGGCCAGCCTCCAGACCCTCTGGCCCAGGGGCTCCTGCCTGGCCCACGTGGGGTGACACCCGGGCAGAGGGCTTGACAGGGCCTCAACTTTTACTGGGCTCCGAGCAGAGGAGACCCAGATGTGTCTGCAGGCCTGAAGTAAAACAAATGACTTTTATAGGAAAAGCCATATTTTTTCCACAATGTTTATCTGTCAGAAGAATAGTCTGAGCACAAAGGGCTGCTTACTGGAAAAGATGAAAACAGTTTGCTGCCAATTTTCTCTGGTGGAAAAAAGTGCTTTGGCGACTAATGAATAACGAACCTCAGTTAACAATGTCTGGAAGGCCCTGCTCTTGGCTCCCTGTACACAATGTGATGGATAGAAATTAGGAAATTAAAACTGATTTTGTTTCTCCAAATTTAACTGTTTACACTTGAGGAAAAAATAATTGAATAATAATGCTTCTCTTGAGCAATCCCCCCTTACCCCCCCAAAGTCGTTCTCAGTGCTTTCAAAATACCCTGCAGCCAGCAGGCCAAGCCTAGTCTTGGCTAACTGGCTGGTGGGCCCCAGGGCGTGCACTGGTTGCACAATCAGCCCCTGCGCCATGGGCACGGGGCCAGGCGGCAGGGCCCGGTTCGCCCCCACCCACTGGGGCCCGAGAGGCTGCAGCCACCTGCCGGGCAGGACCTCCCAGGGCCCTCTGGGTGGTCCTTTCGGGGATCCGTCGGTAGGAGGTGGATGGGAAAGCCTGGCTGGGGACGCCTCGCAAGCCTACCCCCTGGCCAAGGAGAGGAGGCCGCCACAGGGGGTGCTCTAGGGAGGGTCAGGGGGTCTGCTGCTGGCTTGTGAGGGCACTGGGCTCAGCTAGTCCCAGGGGAACCAGGGCCAGCCACCAGCTGGTGGAGTCCTGTCATCCCAGTCTGGAGGAAGCCAGAGGCAGGAGGACATGGCGAGTACACTGCCAGCCCCGTCATTAAGACCCAGCTTCGGGGCTCCCACTGGCTGTGGGGACCCCATGCATGGCACACCGGCCTCACCAGCCTTCAGGAAAGGCCACACCCAGTGCACCGCCCCGGCCTCTGCAGAGTGCAGCCCCAGCAGGCAGGTCCTAGGAGGCGGCCACTGGAGGCGGCATTGCTCACAGAAACTCCCGCCTTGGCCCTGGGGGTGTGGACACTGGCAGCAGCCTGGAACAGGACCGGCCAATAGGTGGAAGGGGAGGAGGGGCATGGGCCTTGCCTGACTCACTGCACTCCGGCCAGCCGTCTCCCGGAGCCCTACCCCGCCCCGGGGAGTTCGGGCTCAGCGACAGCCCACAGGCAGGCTCCTTGGGCCGGCGTGCGCACACTGACCTCTGGGTAGCCTCCCACGTCGTGCACATCAATGCCCAGGAAGTGGCCGAGCCCATGAGGCATGAACACAGCTCCCAGGTGGGCCTGGACCATGGCGTCGATGCTGCCGCTCAGGATGCCGATGCGGGCCAGCTCCTCCAGGTGGATGCGGTCAGCCAGGCGGTGCATGTCAGGCCACCAGACGCCTGCGGCTCAGGAGGAGGCTCAGTAAGCTGTGGAGACTGGTGGCCCGGCCAGGGCTCCCCAGGGCAAGATTTGGGGGACACAAAGCCCTCACTGGCTGTGGCGGGATGTCCTGAGGCGAGGGCAGAGGGGATGAGGCTGGGTGCCCTCCGTGCAGGGCTTTGCCAGCCACAGCTCTGGAACTTAACCCACCTTCTCTACTGGGTCCTCGGGGGCACCCGTGGCCAGGGCCTAGACAGGCCTGCTCCCAGGCCATGCTGTCTGTCCCCCCCCGGCCAGCGTGGGGTCTCCACCAGATCACTGGGCATCAGAAGGAGCTGAGTGTCCCCGTCAGTGGGTGTGGGGGATGGGGGCTGCAGGGAACCCCAGACAAGGCTCAGGCCCAAATGCTGCTCAGGCTGTGGGGCCAGAAGCCACCGTGGCTGGGAGAGGAGCCCCCTGCAGCCCCCCCCCCCCCCCCCATGGGGCTGAGAGTCCCTGGAGCCGCTGTGGGAGAGCCAAGGTCTCCGGGGTGAAGGTGCAGCTGGCACAGCCTCACGGGCTGGCTGGCAGGGGTCTGTGACCCGCCTGCTATTAGCTCTGGGTGACCATCTCTGTGGCAGCACAAACGTCCAAGCCCCAGGCTGCTAATCAAGCTCATCTTTGCCCCACATTTTTCTTTTTCTTTTTTTTTCAATATATTTTTTTTTATCGAATTATTATTTTTGTACATATACCATTTGCCCCACATTTCTGAGGCCAAGGCCTCTGTGGAGAGCACTCCCAGGCGCCGAGTTTCAGGGTGAGCAGGCTCTCCAGGGCTCTGGGCTCAGCCCCGCCTGCATCCCCCGGGGCCTTTGGGGGCGCAGCCTGGGGCTTCGGAGAAGCATGCTCAGCCCTGCCCATGGCTCCATGGAGCCCCACCTTCAGCCTTGCCCACGGCGCTCAGCACAAGCACTACAGAGGGACCTAGGCCAGTGAAGCTCCTTGCCCCTCCTCATGAGGGCCGCGTTTGGGCAGGCCTTGTGGCCCCAGGATGCCCAGGGCCAGGTGGACAGGTTGGGGGCCCGCACTTTATACTGTGCTCTGGCCACAGAGGTGGTCAGTACCGGTCCATATAACCCCTTCCGTGTGGCAACCCTGGCTCCCAAGACACCCCATTCCCCCTGCCCTCATAGCTATATTCTGTTCTCTGCACAACCCATCACCGTCGACCTCCGCTGTAGGAGGCAGCACTGGGATCCTGGACTGTGAGGGCTGCACTGGTCCCTCGCTGGCCACGGATGGGCCCCCAGCATCTGGCTGGGCTCAGGGCCCTGAACCTCAGAGGGCAGACGATGCTCGTGGGGTAGAGAGATGGGCCATAGGCACCAGTCCCCCGGGTGGGGGTTCCTCCCCTGCCAGAGATAGAGGCCCCACAGTTGGGGTCTTGGTGGGTGAAGGCCCAGGGCTAGTCTAACCTCTTGGGTTCCTGGGATCCAGACTCGGAGCAGGTGGAGGGTAAGAGGGCGTGGGTGGCATCCTGGCTAGTTCACATGGGCAGTGGCTGCCCAGGGCCCAAGGTGCAGGGAGACCAGGATGCAGGACACCCAGGCCTGTCCCTGGAGACGGGGCCTCCGTGGAGCCCAGCCCTGTTCTCCCCACCTTGGCCCACGAGGCGCCGGGGTGGGGGTGATGTCCTAGGCTCTGGAGTCCGCTACTCGCTCTGTGGAGGGAGAGCCATCTGCACCCCCTCTGCAGCCAGGGTGGGAGCCTTTTAATGGGATGGCCATCTGAAACCAAGACCCGGTACACTGATGCCAGCTCAGCTGCTCCGTGCTGTGCGACCAGGGCAAGCCGTCGCTCTGAGCCTCTGAGGCCTCCTGTGCCAAACATGCCGCGTGGTGCCTGGAGAGCCGGCTGCAGAGGCACCCACCGGGGACCGGGTCACATTGCCCGCCAACTGCTGTAAGCCACCATTCCCCCGTCACTTGTGTCCAGCCAGACCCTGGATCTACTTTCTGTTCTCTTGTGAGCACAAGCTGGGTCTGCTTCAGCCTTGGACCACTGCTCTCCTCCGAGACAGACACCCTCACTCCCTCTCCCGCTCCCCAGGCAAGGCCACCCTGTGCCAGAAGCACACTAAGGTCTTCCCGCCTCAGGCCTGACCTGACACTCCTCATCCTTGGGGACTCAGCATCAAAGTCAGCTTCACCCTGGAGTCCTTCCCCATCACTCGTTTCGCTGTCCCAGTGATTTCTCTCCTTGCTCCTAACCCTCTGGACAGGTCTGCCTCCCTGTTCCTCCTGTTCCTCCAGGAGAGCGATGCCCCCCCCCTGACCCTCGGGCCTGGCAGAGTGAGTGCCAGTTCAGAGGGGAATGAGTGCACTGCCTGCTCTGCCCTAAGGTCTGCTCCCGTCAGAGGTCCTAGCCTGAAAGGGCCCCAAGCAGCTCCACACACTTGGAAGGCTGCCCTGGGCTGAGGGGCATCCTGTGTGGAGCCGATGCCCAGCCCCAGCGCAGTGCTGTCTCTGCGGAGGCCTTCCCCCGGGGCCAAAGGAAAGCCCCCAGAAGCAGCCTGCCTCGGCCCTGGCCAGCTTCCAGGGGGCGGCCTCGGCAGAGGGGGCAGGTATAAATCATGCTCGCGCTGGCAGCTCGGCTCCTCTCCGGTCCTCGTGGCCCCTTGTGGGGCCGGACGTGTGGGCCCAGGCGGTCCCCACGGCGCCTCCAGTCTTCCTCGCCTGCAGGCCCTCGGGGAAGGCCTTGTACACGGCGCTCTTGGCCGGGAGTGAGTGCTGCCTGTGTGTGGTTAGGGTTGTGACAGTGACTAAACCTCCAGCAACTTGGCCCAGTGTCTGGCCCGGATGGTGTTACGACATCCGTGGCCAGGCCAAGGGTCCCTGAATGTGTGGAGGCTGCTGTAGGGGTGGGGTGGGCACAGATGGAGGGGGTCCCCACCGCCAAGGCCCAGCCCACAGTTCGAGGCCCAGGCCTGACTCCTGGGCTCCCTGCGCCTCAGAGCTCACAGGCCCCTCGGAGCCCACACAGCCCAGCCCGAAGCCATCAGAGGTCCCCCACACCTGCTCATACTGGGGACACCACGTTGGGGGGTCACACTGCAGAGACAGGTGCCATCTGCCTCCAGCACACACCAAATCTCGTCCTGTTGTCCCAAACCTCTCCCGAATCTGAAGCCCCCACCCCTCCTGCCCCCTGCTGTTTCCTTCCCCTCCCCACCCCTCACCCTGCAGGTCAGATGGGGCCAGTCCGTGCCCCAAGGACAGAGCCCCACGTTCCTCAGCCCAGCTTCCGTCTCCAGCCTCACCCCTCCTCCGCTCTGGGCCAACAGCGCTGAGAGCTGTGTCTTCCACTGCTGCTTCCTTAGCAGGGACCACCCCTCCAAGGTCCTTCCTTCCCAGACTCACCCCATTCCTCCTGCAGCCTCTGCTGAAACTCTCCAGGAAGCCCTCCCAGACCGCCCTCTCCTGTGCTGTTAGGACACAGCACACTGGCAGTGCCCTGGTTACAGCCTCTGAGCGCTGAGAGGGCGGGACCTGTGCCTGCTCCATGCCAGGTACACGTGTGGCCTGTGTATGAGCCCCAGCCGTCTTCGTGGCTCTCTTGCAGCCAGTGCTGTCACCTCAGGGCCCAGGGTTTGGATGTGCACTCAGACCCCAGTAACCTCTAGGTCTGTGCCCCATCACCTGCCTGGGGGCCCAGAGGGCCCAGCCCCCAGTATGTATGCAGAGCAGCCCCAGGTCACCAGCTGGTCTCTGTGCCCACCTGGCCCCCCTCAGACCACACCTTGCCCTGATGGGCTGGGAGCCTGCTGGGCCTTCTGCTGGGGCTGGTTTCCAGAGCCTCAGCGGCATCCATCACAGCCTTGGGGCCTCCTGCCCGGAGTGTGACGGCCTGGGGGCTCAGAGGCCCTGAGCCAAGAGGCCCTCCCCCCCCCCCCCCCCCCGCCCCGCTCCTCAGCTGCATCCTCGCAGTCTCTTCCAGACAGAGAGCTCACTTCACGCTAAGACAATGGCCCTCCAGGGATGATACATGAGCCAGGCCCTGGGGGGTGCAGGAGGGGAGGCGCAGGGCAGGGGTCCCAAGGCAGGCCCTGTGGGCTGCAGGGAGCTGCCTGGCAGGCTAAGCTGGCCCCGGGATGAGGGCCTCCAGCCGACCCCCCTCAAACCCCTGCCTCTGCCAGAATCTCGGGGGACCCCCTCTCGCTGCCGAAGGGCAGGATAGTGTGTGCCCGAGTTGCAGGCGCCTGGCTGCCGAGTTGAACGCGGATGTCTTGCTCAGTGTCCTCGTGGTCCCCCCCCCTCTGGCAGAGCGCCCCGCAGGAGTAAATGAGGCCAGGGTGGGCGGAACTCACCGCTGTCCTCGAGCAGGCAGGAGGGCTTCTGAGGCCAGAAGACCACACAGGCCCAGAGACAGCCCTCCTGCCAGAGGGCACCTGTGGTCTGGGTGGTGCGCGGTCCCCCCACCTCTGTCAGCTGACCCCCACGTTCCTTGCCATCTTTAAGGAGAGGCCTGCTAAGGAGAGTCCAACCCCTGCCCCACTGAGGGAAACAGCCCGCAAAGGTGCCTGACCACAGGCCACGGGAGCCACGTGGGCTGGCACAGCTCCCGGTGCCCTTCCCACCGGCCGCCGCGGCTCTAACAGCATCCTCTCCTGTTGTCTGGCCTTCTCGGCGCCAAGGCACTTCCCACCGGCAATCAGAACCTGACAACCAGAACCTGGCTCCAGGGCAGAGCCAGAAGTGGTGCAGCTGCACGCACGCACGCACGCACAGATTGTGCATGGGATGACAGAGGGGTTGCTCCTACAGACCATGGAGGGCCCAGAACCCAGTGCATGGTCTGCACCACACGTGTGGGAGCCGGAGGCGGGCTCAGGAGGGGGGCCCTGCAGCCCCAGGCCAGGGTGACCAGGGTGGGTGTGAACAAGGAGGGTGAGGGAGGTGCACTGGGTGCTGGAAGTGGGAGGGGAGGCCGCACTGGGCGTTTGAAGGAAACCTCAGTGCTCTGAGGTGCCTGGAGGGGCTGGGTCTGCCGAACAGCCCAGGCAAATGCTTGCACTGCACCTGAGATGCTTATGTAAATGACTGATGCTAAACTCACCCCTGGGGTAAAGGAGAGGTGTGAAGAGAGGAGACAAGCACTTGGGGGGGCTGCTGCACAGAGGCCGTGTTTACAGGCAATGGGGGGCGGGGTGCATGCCGGCTTAAAGTTCAGAGTATGGAAAGGTCACAGCAAGCACTTGCTTCTCCCTAAGCCCCTGACCAGTGGTCCGCCCTGCACCGCCTCCGTGGACTTGAAGCACTGCCTCCTTCCCCTCATGGCGGGGCACGCTGCTCCATCCTGCACTTGTCTTCACAGCAGTCCCCCAGGAGCCACCCCGCATTAATGAGGACAAACTGCTGCTTTTTAAACAATTAGCACAGATGCTGTTTGCTTACGCAGCTGCTAAGCCAGGCAAGTCCCATCAACATCGTCCCCAACAGAAGCTCACGTTTCGGTTTCCTTGTCTTTCTTTGGGACATTTCTGAGCTCCTTATCCTGGGACTCATCTGATCACCAAGCTCTGTTCTCATTGGACAAGTGAGGGTGTGGATGGGGCCTGGCATCCCCCAGCACCCGTCCTGGCTCCCTAGCTTCTAACGAGGGGGGAGGAGGGCTCCAGGGCAGGCAGGGGCCCCCCCGCTCACAGTGCGCCTCCTCGGAGACAGTTGCTGGGGGCCCTCAAAAGTAGGACTCGGCTGTAAGTCACCCCAGCAGCTGCCTGTGGGCTGCAGGGGCTGTGGAGCCAGTGCCGAGCCCGGTGCTGACCGGCAGGAGGGGCTCAGGATCTCTTCTCACTCCTTTTTAAAATGAAGTCTCCTCAGAGGGGTGCAAGCTAACTGCCACGGCCCCACTCAACTGAGCATGAGCTGAGTCTGGCCTTCAAGGCCTGTCACGGCCAAGCCCCCATGGCCCCACAGCCTCCACCTATTTCCCTGAATACCGAGGGACGCTCGGTGCCCGCCAGACCCAGCTGCAGCTGCTGGCCCTGGGCAAGAGGGCACCGCACGCTCAACCAGGTGCCAGTGCCCGGACCTGGCCACGCCCTGCCTGCTGGAGCCCTGCCTGCTGCAACTCTGCGCTGGGACGCGGCAGGGAATGTGTGACACCCAGTGGCCAGCCAGGCAGGGGGTGTGCAGGAGGACAGAGGGCACAAGGGGTGACCTGGGCTGAGCTGGCTTGTGGTTCTGTTTCTGTGCGGCCGCCAGGCCCCTGTTCTGACACCCCCTGCGCCTTCTGGCTGCTCATCGAGGCGGAGATGGACTCCCCATGTCAAGTGTTAGACCTGCTTCTCTGTGGTGCCCCACCTCAGAGCGCGGGGCCAGGCATACTGCCGCCTCCACCCCACGCCAGGGGGCCCCTGCCTCACCCGGCTTCATGGAGCTCATGACGGCCCGGCAGCTCCGCAGCACCGCCTCGTAGATGGCCTTCTGGTCCTGGGTGAACTTGCCGTTGGCAGGGAAGGAGCACGTGATGTCGGACGCGAAGCAGTAGTACTCGCCGCCCATGTCAAACAGGCTGTGGGGGAGAGGGCATGAGGCCACGGGTGCTCACCCTGCCCATCGCTTCCTGCCCACCCGGCGCTCAAGGGCAGCAGCAGGGGGCCTCCTGGCCCAGTGTCTTCTCACAGTGCACGAGCAGCAAAGGAGCCCTGCCCGTCCCGGGACCTCTGACCCAGAGCAGGAAGACCCTGTGCACCCGCTGCCCTCCAGCACCTCTGCTGCCCAGGCCACTGGATGCTCGGCTGTGGGGACTCAATTGGAGAATGAGGGGGGGAGAGCTGTCCCCAGGACCCCTCCACCACCTGGCCTCCATGTGAACATCCCACAGACCCTCCCAGGACTGCCCTGCTCCGGGCACGGGGTGTGGCTGCAGCCTAGAGGCAATGCACATGGCCTGCACAGGCCCTTAGGACGCAGGCACCTGTCTGACAAGGAATGGACTGAGATGCACCACCTGCCTCCGCAGGCCCTGGTGTCTCAGTGAAAACCCAGCCAACAGGTCTGCGTCAGCTCCGGCCAGAGCGCGTCCCTCTCCCTGCTAGGATGGGACGATGTGCTCTGCAGGGCCCAGCAGGACAGCCACCCCGTCCAGCAGGGTCTTCCCAGGACCTGGCCAGCCGCACACCACCCTGGGGCTGCCCAGAGCCCCAGCATTCCCAGGGGCAGAGCAGGCACAGCAGGCCGGAGCGAAGGAGTGGAGAGAGAGAGAGGAGGGACGAGGCCTGCAGCTGCAGCGTGAGCCAGGAGTGGCAGGTCGGCTGGGACAGATGGGCCGGCCGCTGAGTCAGGAGAACAGGCTGCGATGACCTGCCCTCTGGACATCCAGTGACAGGGCCCTGGTGCCCCAAGTCAGGAGAGGGCCAAGCCGCGCTCCCACCCCCTGGCTGCCAGACTGTGCACACCGGCTCCAGCCTCAGGACCCTCCCCCTGCACAGTGGGAGGGACAGAACACACAGGGGCTGTTGGGTCCAGGAATGGCTCCCACTGGGCCCCCAGGCTGACTAGGGCCCCGGATGGAAGGAGGAGGGCGCTCAAACAGATCCCCCTTCCCATCTTGTCCCACCGGAGCACTCGGCAGGCTGCTCAAGGCAAGCACAGGGTGGGCGCCCACCAGCCCTCACCCTTCTCAGGGTCAGGACCACACTGAGGGACATGGTTTGGCCCAGGCCTGAGACTCTGCTGTGTCTTCAGGCCAGCGGACCACGGAGCCAGGTGGGCTGAGATGGAGGGGCTGGGGTGCGTGACTGGCTGGAGCCGCTCAGCTTGGGGCCTGGCTGCCCACTCCCCGTGGGGGCCGGTCTGCAGCCACACATATTCTGGGAGCCGAAGCGAGCGCAGGGGCAGAGCCGTGCCTTCACTCCTACCAGGGCCTCTCGCCCAAACCCAAATTCTAAAGGTCAACACCGCCGCCCAACAAATGTCCTAAAAGCCGCCTGTCTTTGGGGGTCCCTACCCCACAGCCCACGTGGTGTGACAGGCAGCACCAAAACAGAATTTTAAAGGAAAAAACCGAATGCTCAGGATCCCTGGGTATTTTGCTGGAATACAGAGTTCCTAGCTGGGCACTCTTTAATCTCCCGTCTTTTTCCAATTGCAAAACACCACCAGCAGTGTCAACAGTGCAAAAAGCACCAGATAACACCTCAGGTGACTCAGGGGTGGGGAAGAGGCCCCAGCAGCACAGCAGGGAACTGGGGGCTAGGTCAAAGTCACAGGCGTGCGGGGCCCCGGGCCTCACTCGAGGGGACCCCCCACGCCGGTGCGGGAGCGGATGGTAAGACAGAGGCCCTGACAGACACGCCCAGCCACCTGCTCCCCAGGAGGCGGCAGATGCCACAGGGCTGGGCCAGCTGCTCCCTGCAGGTCGACTCCTGCCCAGGGCTCTCTCCCCCAGGGCTGGCTGGGAAGATAGGCACATCTTTCCTCTAAACTACGGAGGCCCTGAGCGGGGGGCATCAGCTGAGACCAGCACGTGGCCCTCAGAGCCTCTGTTCCGCCGTTAAGATGGGGACAGCCACAGTGCTGCAGGCTCGTGTCCTCTGGGGCCAGCGTGCAGGCAGGCATGGGACTGAGCTGCACGGGGCCCTGGGCCAGCGTCACCCGGGAGCAGAGCATTTTCATACGGGTTCCCTGGAGTCAACGAAGGAAAAATGGTTTGTGGCTTGTTGTTCAGAACAGGCAGGAATGGCCTGAGGAAGACAGTCAGGAGCGTGGGGGACACAGATGCCGGGGCCACCACATCAGAGGGCGCCCTGCAGCAGCACCCCGGGCGCGGAGCTCAGGGAAAACAGAAATTGCACTATTTAAAAAACCAGGAAAGCCCACAGAGCACCAAACGCTACAGCTTCCAACAGTGAGAACGAGACTTCCCAGGCGGACAAGAGGACTCTGCTCAACAACCCAAGGAACACGGGGTGGGGCTGCCTGGGGGCACTCGGCCGGCCTGGCTTTGTCACTGAGATTCTCCAAGGCCTCGGCTGCATTTTTTTGTTTTAAAATCATCCGCTTTCTGGAGAAGGAAGTGCACAAGCAGCCGGCAGCTCCATCCTGCCCCGCGATGCGCAAGCACGGGGCTCAAGTCTATTTTCGTGCTCTCAGTTCCCTATCTTTCCCCTTAAAAAAAAAAAAAAAAAAAAAGCAGCCTCTACCCCCCCTCCCCCCCCCCCCCCCCCCAGTTCCTGCACACACGTTATTCAGCTTCAAGCCATTCTGGAGCCCGGGGATGAAAGCCATCTCTTTTATAAATCATCTCCCGCCAACTCCTCTGTGTCCACTCCATCCGTCCTCCAACCAAGCTGACGATGGAGGATTCAGTCATTCTTTGGCTCAGCCGAGGACGCAGGGCCCTCCTCCCTGGCTGCCTGGAGACACCACCAGGAACCCTACCACCCCTGGCTGCGGGAGGGTGCGTGATAATGTAAGACATCTGGGGGACACTCCACATCTCCAAGCACACGCTGGCCTCCCTCCTCGCATGTGTTCAGCGGCTTCTCTTTCTGGCTGGGATGCGAGGCTCTGTCTTCCGCTGGCTCCTCCCGGGCAGCTCCATGCCCGGGCTACCTGCCACCACAGGCCCACCCAGCCCCTCCCCGGCCCCTCAGTCCCTCTGCAGGGACTAGCCAGCCCACAGGCAGGCAGCCTGCAAGCGGACTTGGCCGGTGACGAGGCTGGGAGCAGTCGGGGGAAGGCGGCAGTGCTTACACAGGGCCACTTCGCCCTTGGCGTGCAGCTTCACGTTAACCTCCCAGGTTGTGGCCGACACTCGCCACCTCTCACCTAAGACCGATGCGCACACGCACACGTGTGCATGCACACACCCAGCTCCAAGGACAGGAGCATTCCAGACCCCGACGTGCAGCCACCCAGTGTGTGTCCGAGGCCAGGCCAGGGGATTTCTGAGCGGCAGGAAACCCTCACTTCCCTTCAGACCTTAGCGTGAGACAGAAAGGAAGGCACATCGGTCACTTCCAGCTTATGTGCCGCAGCGGGCAGCCCCTCCAGGGGCCCCTGAGCCGGCCGCCCACTCCAGCCAGACGCTCCGAGTGCCAAGCCCCGGTGTGCCGGGCGGCAAAGACCATCGCTGGAGTCCTGAGGTTCCTCTGGGCCGTAGGCTGACCAGGCCGACCTCTCCCCGGCACCTTCGGGCATCCCCGCTCCCCAACCCAGCCTCGCGAGAGTGCCCCCGAGGGCAGGGAGGCAGGAAAGCCAGGCAGCAGCTCCACGGCCAGCCATCCCAGCTCACTGGGGGCAAGAGCCGGCGCGGGCTGGGGCCTCCCGTGTGTCTGTCCTGCGGGGACAGGGCAGGAGCGGAGCGGCGATGCGGGCTCCCCAGGAAGGACACCGCAGGCACCTGGCCGGGTGTGCGGGTGGGACCCCGCGGCTGCCCACCAGGGCTGGCTGCCCCGGCGGCACCGTGGGGCGGGGGCCGGGGGCAGGGAGCGCTCGGTGGGGGCGGCGGTGAGTCGGCGTCACGCGCGCTGCACATGTGGCGCTTCACTTTTCGGTCAGCGTGTCCCGTGGTGTCTGGGCCGGAGCGCTCACGCTGGCCTGTGAAGTCATCTGAGTGGGGTGTGGGTAAGAAACAAACAGGAAGGTGGGGGGGCCTGGGCTGGGCTTGGCCTGGCACCAGGGAGCAGGCCTGCGGGTGACGCTCATCCTATAAAGCCCACTGGGGCCCCCGGCGCCAGAAGCGAGGGACGTGGAGGCCCCCTCCCCGGCCCCTGGCCGTGTGGGGAGGAGCCCCCAGCCCGACATGCACGTCCGCAGGCCGCAGCGTGCAGGCACCAGCAGACAGACCAGCGGCCTCCGGGGGATGGATGTCTGTGACGGAGACGCAGGCTGCTGTCCACAGACAGGGGGCAAGTTGCGGTGACCTTGCCAAGCAGTTTTAGCTAATGTCCAGGCCACATAAAAGCGAGGAATTAGCAGGGAACGGACTTGAGAGAGGGGGCAGGAAGGAGCCAGCTGGTAACAGCGCTGTGAGCAGGAAGGGGTGGCCGGTTGGGAAAAGAGCCTGCCCCGGCCACGACCCCTCATCTGCCGGAGGGAAGAACAGAGCCGCGCAGGGCAGCTGGCAGAGGAGGGCTCTGATGCCGCCTCAGCGGGGGATGTGCCATGGGCAGCGGGAGGAGCAGTACATACAAGCGACATGCCGGCCGGGGTTCAGGGGTCTAAAGGGCGGACACCGGCAGCTCTCACACGTCTGGGCAGAGTGGAGTGGGGCTTTGGTGGACATGAGCGGTGTCCCCCTCTTCGCGGGTCAGCAGGGCAAGGCGTGTGAGAGCTGGGGCTTCAGGCTGCCCATAATCGGGGAAGGAGACAGATGGGGCCCTAGTCCCCAACAGGGCTGGAGCGGGAAAGGCTGGCTGCTGAGTGTGGGGCTGGGGCAGGTCTCTTCCCTAACTGGGCTGGCCGCACCCCTCCAGCCCTCAGGACGCAGAAGACCAATGCCACAGGGAGAAGGCCCAGCCCACATGTTCCGAGACTGTGCTGCCCTCTTCTGGCGAGTGCTGGGAGGTCTGGCTCACTACCCACCAGCCACTTCCTGCCTGCAGCCGGGCAAACCAGGCCTGTGATCCTTAGACTGGGGCTTTGGCAGCTGAGAAGGACCACAGGGCATCCTACCCCAGGGACCACTCCTCCGCAGGATCAGATGGAGAGGGCAGGTGAGGAGGGTGTCCCAGCTGTTTTCCAAATCAGAGCCCATTGGAAGCACACCTTCCACCTCTGTCCCGAGGGGTGAACCTGCTGACAGGACCAGGAGAGGCGGGGTGCCCCCCCCCCCCCCCCCCGCCCCAAGTCCAGCACAAGAGTGGGCCCAACTCTAGGTGCACTGCTTCCCAGTGGATTTAAACGTGGACACCGGCTCCCCCTAGTGGCTCACGGGCAGCATGCCAGTTCTCAGCACCTCCACCCATTTTGGAGGCTCCAGTTTCCAAAGCCCAGGCTGTCTGGGGAGGACTAGGCAAGTGCAGGAGGGCGCAGAGGACGCGCAGGCGATAGGAGCTGGCGTGGGGTGAGGTGTGGGCCTCGAAACTCTCTGTGCAGCTCTCGGTGACAAGTCTGAGAGGGGCTAAGAACTTACAGGCCCCAATTTCCAGGGTGCTCACTGAGGCTGACAGAGGCCATGCCTGCTCCAGGGAAGCTCCTGGGACTGAAAGGACAGGTGTGGGAGGTGGCCTGGCCAGCTTCAGGCTCCTCCGGGCACACACCCAGAGCACAGTCGGGGGCTGAACACAAAGCAGGCACACCCCACGTGACTCGAGGGCTGTCTGTGAACACACGGGCCTGGTTGCTCACCTCCAGCTTGTCCTGGAACCAGCTGCTGGAGCACAGGTAGGCGAGGCCCCAGCTTGCTGGCTCAGGGGAGATGGCTGCTGTGCTGCAGGTCTTACCTGCCTAGGCCACGTTGGGCCAGGCTCCACGCTCAGTACTACCATTACTGAGTCCTCCCAGAGCTACGAGCTGTGTTACCCCAATGATGACAGAGAAACCTGAGGCTGAGGGATGGCCACTCAGCAGGGGAAGGCAGGGACTTGAACTGGGGACCCTCTGTGCTCTTTGTCATACAGCCCCGCCTCTCTCAGACTCCCCGTGTGTGTATGTGAGGCGGGGGGTGTCTAGGATTCTGGGGAGAGGGTTAGGAAGGGCTGGTGCACTCGGCACCCACTCCCCACTCCCCACCTTATCCGGTCAAGTCTGACTCTGGACCAGTTCCGCCCCCCAAACAGCCCCCGTGTCAGATATCCCTGGGGCTGGGACACAGCGTCACTCTCCGGGAGATGCGGCTCCAGGAAGCACTTCGCACGCTGCTCATATTTTGGTTTCATACCTTATGATGAAGTGCCTTGGCTTTTATGTTGGGATAACAGTGATTTATTATTTACCAAATGCAGTGGGTGCTCAGCAGATCAATTTCAATAAAACAATGGCTTATAAACGCTGCCAGCAATCTGGCCAAAGCAGTAATCAACAAAACATGTTGTTGTAAATGCTCCATAATAAATTGACTATAATAAACTCATAATTATTCTACTGGCTACATTTCAAAGTTGGCACTAGAAAAATAAAATCACCAATTTGGGCTTGGCATTAACATCCAAGGGATTCCTGGGATCACTTCTGTCTCTAAAGCCGTGACCAGGAGACGCAGGTGCCAGTGCCGCCAGGAGAGCTGAGGGCAGAGCACCTGGGCTGGGGGCGGGGGGCTGCTGTCTGCTGCATCCTGGTCAGCCAGGCCCACCCGGGGGGGGGGGCACCCCAGGATCAGAGCTGGGACCGGCTCTCCTGGGGTGAAGACGGGAGGGGAGAAGCCGCCACTTCCTCTGGGTGTGCCGGGCTCAGAGAGAAACACTCCCGCCCTCCGGCTGGCCAGGGCTGCCCGCAACAGCTGGGACCATTGTTGTGGCTGGTCCCAGACCCTGCCTGGGGCCCGGCTTCCCACGTCCTGTCCTCCCAGCCAGAACGGACCACAGAGTCAAAGAACATCAGGAAACAGGACAGGAGGCCAGAGTCCTTGAAGAGGCCAGGCGGTCTCTCCTTAGCCAGGGCCCAGGGGGCAGGGCGGCCCCTCTGTTTCCTCAGTCACCAGCTGAGCCAAGGCTGAGGCAGCCAACCCTCTCCCAAACCCCCTGGCCTGCCCTCGGGCCTGGTCCTCTCCTGTGTCTCAGTGACCTCGCCTGTCCCGGTCCCTCGTGGGAGCAGGGGGAGAAAATCTACATCAACAGATGCCGCTGGTGCCAGGCCCAGGGGAGGGCCGTGTCCAGGCAGCTGCACGCCTCGGTCTGGGATGCTGGACACTCAGAGAGGGCCCAGGCCCCGGGGAGGCACGCGTGGTTTCTGTACCGCGCAGTCCCAAGAGGTGTGTGCGGTCTCCATCCACCTGAGGCTCAGAGTGGCACTGCGAGGCTGTTTATAAGCCATTGTTTTATTGAAATTGATCTGTTGAGCACCCACTGCATGTGACCTGAGGCTCAGAGTGGCACTGCGAGGCTGTTTCCTTCCTGAGGGCCGAGCTGGGCTCCTACCAACTCTGGCCTGAGACAGACTCTCCCGTCCAGCCACTGACCGCGGGTGACGGAAGAGACCTGGCCACTCAAAAGGGTGGTGTGCCCCGTGGTAGGGGGACCCTGGGGCAGAGTAGGTTCCCCGAAACACTTGGCAGTGCCAACTCGGAGCACGCCTCTCAGTTCATGGCCCTGAAGGATCCCTGGGCGCGGCCCCACTCCCTGCCGTAGGGCTGGGTCTTGCCTGCGTGAGGCAGGGCTTTGGGACTCGGCTCGGGGACAGACTAGCGGGGCCCGAGGAGAGGGAGCCCGGCACTGCCTGGAGGCGGGCGGGAGCCTTGCTCAGGCGTCTCCGCAGCCGGAGGAGAAGGCTCCAAAGCCCCGACAGAGGACGGCCCCACTCCCCTCAGCTGAGGGCCAGGCCACAGCACGGTGCGAAGGCCAGGACGGGCCAGCCAGCGGGCGGTGGCCTCTGGGCGGCCGGGACTGGCCCGCCCATGTCGGTGGTGAAGAGTTCAGGGGCTGGGGGGCTGGCCCAGCACTGAGAGACACCCACAGAGCAGAGGCCCAGCAAGGTGGGACCCGGGCGCAGACGAGCCCCACACGCGGGGTCCCCAGCAGGCCCCGAGGGCCCGCCACAGGGAGGCCACGGAGGGTGGAGCCGCGGTCCCGCCCACACTGCTTCGTCATGGCTCCGAGGGGCAGGAGCACCAGACGGCCCAGAAAAGGCGTGTGAACAGCGTGTGGCGAAGCAGCACCTCCAACCTCTTCAACCAACGGCTGCTATTGCCCAGGTCCTGCGCCGAGGCTGCCAGGTCTCAGAGGGCAGGGGTGCCCGCTCCCAGCCCCGAGACAGGTGTCAGTGTGGTGGCGGATACCGAGGTCGGAGGGCAGGGCCTGGGGCAGTTCAGGCCCTCTTCAAGGAGCCAGCCCCGCAGCACCAGCCCCCGCCCCTCAGGGCTCCCTGGCTCCTGGAGAAGGAGTGCCCGAGGCCGTGCCCGTGCAGAGCAGCCGGGCCCAGAGCGGACTGGCCCCGCTGGGTCAGCCCTCGGCGGCGGAACCAGAGGCCGGGGAGTCCCCCCGAGGTTGGTCCCACGTGGCCCCGCTCTTCACTCACCACATGTCTCCGTCCCGGATGGACCGGTCGTTGGGGGCCCCGGCGTGTCCGTAGTGCAGGACGGCCGAGTTCTCGCCGCTGTGGAGGGGGAGGGGAGGTCAGCAGCTCAGCCTCACCACAGGCCCCAGGCTGGGCCCCAACACCTGCCCCGCGGGCAGGACTATCCCCGAGGCAGAGGCCAGGGTGCTGGTCAGGCCGCAGCGTGAGTCACCACAGCCACACATGGTGGAGAGGGCGCTGTGCGGGGGCAGGAGCTGGGCTGGGGGTCTGGTGAAGGACAGAATGGGGGTCTGGGAAAGCCTCCTCTCCTGGTGGCTGAAGGGACAGGGGAGTCATTCTGGGAGGGCCTGGGCCGGGCGGCCGCCGGGAGGCCTGCTGGGACGCAGACAAGGCCCCAGCCTTTCGCTCCGCTGCTCAGGAGAACGTTCCTCACGAGCGAGGCCTTTAAGGAAAAAAGGACTTTTCTGTCCAGAGGAAAGCCTCACCTGGGTGTAATATTTACGGCCCTGTTTGGAGTCTCAGGAATCATAAAAGTAGAAATAATGATTTTTCTCTCTATCTACCAGAGAACATTTCCAAGGACTGACACGTCCACATGTATTATTCATGTGCCGAGGGCGCCGGCTTCGCCGGCTCCGTCCTGGCTGAGTGGGGCCAGACCATCGACCAGGGAGGCAGGGGATATAGGGCCACCCACAGCCAGGACATGCCCCTCACACACACACCTACACACACACACACACACCTACACACACACACACACACACACACACACACACACCTATATACACACACATACACACACACACACACACACACACACACCTATACACACACAGACCCACACACACACACACACACCCATACACACACCTACACACATACACACACCTATACACACACACACCTATATACACACACCTACACACACACACACACACACACCCATACACACACCTACACACACACACACACACACACACCTACACACACACACACACACACACCTATACACACACACACCTATATACACACACCTACACACACACACACACACACACACACCCCCCTATACACACACCTACACACACACACACACCTATACACACACACCTACACACACAAACACACACACACACACCTATATACACACCTACACACACACACACACACACCCCTATACACACACCTATACACACACACATACCTATACACACACACACCTACACACACACACACACCTACACACACACACACCTATATACACACCTACACCCACACACACACACACACCCCTATACACACACCTATACACACACACATACCTATACACACACACACCTACACACACACACACCTACACACACACACACACCTACACTTACACACACACACACACCTATATACACACACACACACCCCTATACACACACACACCTACACACACACACACACACCTATACACACACACACACCTACACACACACACACACCTATACACACACACCTACACACACACCTATACACACACCTATACACACACCTATACACACACACACACCTATACACACACACCTACACACACACACACACATACACACACCTATACACACACACACACCTATACACACACAGACTCCCCTCCCCCCACACACACCTATACACGCACAGGCATGCATACACACAGACCCACACAGACACACACGTCTGCATGCACACACACAGATACACACAGACACACACGCCTGCATGCACACACACAGATACACACAAAAAACACACTCTCACACACAGAGACACGCACACACACAGATACACACAAAAAAACACACTCTCACACACAGAGACACACGCACACACAGACACACACAAGTTACACACAGACACACAGATACACACAGAAAAACATACACAGACCCACACACATCTATACACACACAGACATGCACACACACACATACACACAGAAAAACACACACTCATACACACCTATACACGCGCAGACATAGACACACGCACAGACACACACACACTCACACATACACAGACACACACACACACATAGACACACGCACACACAGACACACACAGAGATACACACACACACACACACACACACACTCTCACTCACACACACACACAGGAGCCCAGCAGGCCGGCGTGCGCCATGTGGGAGGGTGAGGCGGCCAGTGGCGGCCAGGCTCCCTCCTCCACGCGGCGCCCCAGAGCAGGCAGGCAGCCTCCCTCGGGGCCCGGGAGAAGTAACTCCCAAGCTCAGCTGGGCATGGCGTGGGCGTGGGCGTGGGCGTGAGCAGGTGCATCTGAGCTGGGGAACGGGACCCTCCCTTTGCCGTAAGCCTCCCACTCCACCCCACGTGGCCAGGAGCCCCTTACCTGCCGCAGATGCAGGTGTAGGAGCTGTGGCGCATGCCGCCCCGGGAGTAGCAGTAGTGCTCGAAGAGGCTGCAGGAGAGGAGAGGGGGAGCCAGGTGCTGAGTCATCACGCCTGCCCGGCCCCTGCGAGGCCTGAGCCTCCGGCATCGCTCTGAGGGGCTGCAGCTGAGCTCCGGGGTCAGCCACAGGCCACCGAGCACAGGGGTCGGTGTGGAGGGAACAAGGCCAGAGGAGCTTGCCACCTGCAGCACTGGCGCTGCCCAGCCTGCCAGGCCCATCGGAGGGCAGCGCTGGCCCTGCGGGGAGATGGGCTGGCGTAGGGGCCAGTTTCTGCAGGGCTGGAGGTAATGTCTCCCGGTGACTCCCACGTCCAGTGGCCACACCCTGCCACTGGGAGGGGCTGGGCACGGCCAGGGAGGAACACAAAAGCTCTCCCAGCCCCTGCGCTGGACTCACCGGGCCCCCGGGCCTGACCGCAGGGAGGGGCACAGGGGAAGACACAGGAGCTGCTGGGCACTGGCCTGGAGGATGGGCCGAGGGACAAGCAGAAAGGGCAGGACAGGGTGGTCTCCAGGAAGGCGGAGAGAGGCAGGGCCTGGGTGGGGCAGGCCTTGCTTCTCCGGACTTGGGACAAGCTCCACCAGCCACACCCGCACCCACTCCCACTCCCACACCCGCACCCGCACCCACTCCCACACCCACATCAACAGTGTGAACCCTTGGGAGCCAGGAAGGCAAGAACTCTGGGGAGGCTAGGACGCCACCCCTGCCCCCACCAGCTGCCTTTGGAACTGGGAGGGCTTGTCTCTTCGTGGGACCCGGAGCTCCGAGCGCCCAGGCTCTACAGCACCCATCCGAGACCGGGCAATGGGGGGACTGCTCTCCCCCTCCCGAGGCCTGACCTCCAGGTGGCCCTGCCCTGCCCACCCTCCACCATCAGGGGACCAGTCACCGGGCTGTGCCGCCCCACCCTCCTCCCGTCTCCAGAAGCAGAGGCCTGGGAGCGTCGTGGTGAGTCTGCTCTGACATTCTCGCTGCTTTAGAGAACGCCTGCAGGGAGCCTAACTTCCAGGCACTGTAAACACAAACTTTGTGTAACTGTTACGATCGGGTACCAAGCAGTTTCTGGTCGGTTCGATCGGCTTTCATGTTTGCCTGATGACCCTCATGGCTGGTATCTGTGAGGGAGATATCTCCTCCAGAGAAAGGATGCCAGGAACTGCCAGGGAGGCGAGGAGAGCCGCACGTTCTCGCTCACGGCAAGAGCACTCAGCCGGCTGCCACTGACTTCAGCCTCAGTCCCAGAGGCTGTGGGGACCGCAAGGCCAAGTCACGGCGGGAGGAGAGTGCACAGACCGCACCCTCCATGCAGCAGGCCCTCCTGCCTGCCTGGCCGCCGAGCTCAGAGCCAGACACACCGCCGCGGAGCCGCCTGCTCCCTGGGCTCTGAGGGAAGCTGGACAGAGGCAGGCCTCACGCGCACAGCCGTCCTCGAGGTGATGGGACAGCAGGCTCGGCTGAGGCCGGGGACAGGATGGGGACAGCAGGCTCGGCTGAGGCCGGGACAGGATGGGGACAGCGGGCTCGGCTGAGGCCGGGACAGGATGGGGACAGCAGGCTCGGCTGAGGCCGGGACAGGGTGGGGACAGCGGGCTCTGATGAAGCCGGGACAGGATGGGGACAGCGGGCTCTGATGAAGCCGGGACAGGATGGGGACAGCGGGCTCGGCTGAGGCCGGGACAGGATGGGGACAGCAGGCTCGGCTGAGGCCGGGACAGGATGGGGACAGCGGGCTCGGCTGAGGCCGGGACAGGATGGGGACAGTGGGCTCGGCTGAGGCCGGGACAGGATGGGGACAGCGGGCTCTGATGAAGCTGGGACAGGATGGGGACAGTGGGCTCGGCTGAGGCCGGGACAGGCAGAGTGTGAAGGAACAGGCACGTTCCCCAGGAGCGAGAGGAAACAGGGTGGGACTGGCTGCCTCCCCCTTCGACTCTCAGCAGCAGGCATTGCTCTGTGTAACTTACTCGGAGAAACAGCCTTCATCGCTTTCTTTTACGAAAAAAGGGATTAAGAGTAAGAGGCACAGCTGTGGAACTAAGGACCTGCTGACCCAGCTTTCACCCACAGCCGCGGCCGCACCGGCTCTCCCCGCTGCCGACACTCCCACCCACAGGGAGGGCTGAAAGTCTACAGGATCTGAAGAACTTCCATTTGTTTTAAATGAACTTTAAATTCGTTTTAAAGTGAACTTTCCTAACATGCTGTGAGGACAAGCAGGGTGTGAGCGTGATGTGCTCTGGTGGCAGTAGCAGGCGGCTGCAACGGGCCCAGGCTTTCTGCTCACACTCCTCCCGGGCCTCAGCCTGGCTGTGGCCACGGGAAGGCGCCGAGTTGGGGGGAAGGTGTGGTGGCTCGGGGCCAGTGGAAGATACAAGTCTGACATATCTCTGACTTCCGAGGGGGTGGGAGGGAGGGAGGAGTGGACACTCCACCAAGCATGCCTAGCAATCCACTCGGCTGGTGGAGGCTCCGCACAGCTCGGCCAGCGCTCGGCAGGCACAGTCACAAGGACACACAGAGCGGCCTGGTTCCCACGGGAGGCCACAGAGACCCTCCAGGCCTTCACACAGAATGCGGTAAACTGAGCCAGACGAGGGCGCGCCACAGGGCCTGAGCTCTGCCGACAGCCTACGGCCAAACTCAGTCACAAGGAGGGCAGAGCATGTGACTGGGGACCCTCCCCCAACACCCGGAGGTGCTGCATGAAATACAATCAGCAGCGGTCACAGCACATGAACGGGGAGGCGGAAAGGAAGGGAACCTGGAGGCCTTGGGGACGGCAGCAAGACCTCCGGCACACGAGAGGTAGGGGGCTAGACCTGAGCCCCACCCCACATAAAGCTGGGGCCCTGGCAGGGGTACACTCTCAGCAAAAGTATAGATTTGGGAGAAAATTCATGAGCACCCCAGGAGCCATCAGGAAGCCTGACCGGACTCTGGGGAAAAGAAAGGACATTTCCTCAGATTGCATAGCCTGGGTCTGTCCTCCATGGGTCAGATTCAGGTGTGAACTACCTCACGGTTTGGAAACCCCCGTGCCAGGAAATTAACAAAGCGGTCCTGACTGGTGACACCTGGAGCCCAGGGCAGGAGCAGACACAAAACCAAACCGAACATCTGAACCCTCAACCCAGGCCAGCCAGGGTCTGCGCACACACACGCGCGCGCACACACACACACACGCACACACACGCACACACGCAAACGCACACAGCACAATATACCCATACTAGAGGCCTGTTGCATGAAGAGATTCGTGTAATAGGCCTGCCTTCCCTTGGTTTCCAGCACTGGTTTTCCTCCAGCACCTGGGACCCAGGCCTTCACTCTGGCCAGAGTCTGCCTTCTTTGTCTTTGCTGCAGACTCCTCTCCTGTAGATCCCTTTACCCCCCACCCCTGCCCTCTCTCTCATAGCAGGCATCCTGCCCTGCCTGCTCACTTCACACCTGGAGCAGCTGAGGGCCGCCATCTTTGACCTTCTAATTTGCATACTCACTCTGATTGGCTGAGGGCATAGTGGAGGTATGGTCAATGTACATGTTTGTCTATTATTAGGCAAGTATGTACACATAAACATGTACACACATGCATATACAAATACACATACATGCATATATATGTCCCACATACACTGAGCATGAACTCACAATCAGAAATAGTTCACAAGAGTTGTCAGACACAGCAAGCAGCTGGCTTAGACCCCAAGAACTTCTGGTAACAGAATCCTCAGATGGAGATGACCCACACATCCTACCTTATAACTGGTCAAAAACAGATTTGCTAGCCCCACTCCCTGCCCAGGCCACTCTCCCGACTCCTCAGCTGCTGCCAGGGTCTGCACAGGAGGGGAAGGGGGGGGGCAGGCCTGGAGATCATGTGGAACTCAGCCCATGCAGGCCCTGCTGCCTACTCTGTCTGATATTTGGGGCAGATGACACAGCTCCTCCAAGAAGAAAAACCAAACAGCCACCTGCAACGCTGAGCGTTTACAACCATCCTTCCAGGAGAGGAGCTATTTTCCTGCTTCTTGGATAAGAAAACTTCCACTCAGAGTGGCCATGTGCGGGGTCAGGGAACCCCCGGAATCTGTGTGGGAGCTTGGAGTCCATGCACGGCTTCTGACTCCAGTGGCTCCGAGGTTTCAGGCCTGCAGTGGCGAGGACTGGACAAACCTGCCAGAGGACCAGGCTCCTGCTCCGAAGCACCGGGTGGCTGCGGCTGGCGCTCCTCCCGGAGCCCGAGGACGGTCTGCACAAGCCCAGGGCAGCTGCCTCAGGCGGCTGGAGGAAAGGGGGCTGGTGCCCGGGAGAGGCCTGGACGGGAGAATCTGCCAACCAGAGGCAAGGACAGCAGAGAGACGGCGGTGGTCACGGCAGGCAGATGGGAGGGCGGGAGAGAAGCCACTCGCTCTGTCCCCGAGAGCGGCTTATCAAGGTAGGAGATAATTAGCATTTTAATTGGATAATTGGGAATTCTAAATTGCCTATCTTGTATTAAGCATAACGGAGGACATAACATGACATTCAATTAACAAATATTCTCCTTTATTCTTGACATGCTTGATTGGGTGGAGTTGTTGAGCTTCCTGTGTCTGTTATTGGGTAGTTGTCGAAGCCCTGGCTGCATCAGACTGCTATAAACCTAATACATGTGTACATGTGTGTATGCGTGTACACACACACACACACACACACACACACACACGAAAGGTCCTAGAAATTCTCTACACAAAGAAAATAGTAAAAATAAAATAAAAATCACCCATAACCTATTCTCCAGAGATAATCTCTATTCAATTTTTGTTGACCATCCTTCCAAGCCTTTTTTATGTGCAAGCACAGATTTCAAAAACTGTGAACATTTTTTAAAGTCACCTTTTAACCGAATCTGACACACACAGAAGAGGGCCTGAAGCCATGAGGGCCCGGCACAGTGATCTGCCACAAACTGTGTCCCCAGAAGCCGCTCCGAGGCAGACTCCCTCCCACAGACAGCCTGGCTTCTC